GCTGACGTCTACCAGAGAGATAAGACTGACACCAATTATATGCTCTGTTGGTAACGCCATAAGCCAGGATTCGAGCTAGGACTCGAGCTAGGACTAGAGCAAGGACTCGAGCCAGGACTCGAGCCAGGACTCAAGTTAGGACTTTTCTAATCTTTCGGTAAGCAAAATAAATAAATAAATAAATAAAAATAATTAATAAACAAATAAACAAAAGTAAAATAAAAGTAACAAAAAGGACTCCTAACCTAACTCGTAACCTCCTAACCCTACCACTAACCCTAACCCTAATCCTAGTCCTAGCCCTAACCCTAACTCGAGCTTTCCTTCCATGGTTGCCACAAAAACCCTCCTCTTAATGGTCATCCGTCATGGGAATTGCAGGACGTGAAAATGGCGGGAAAGGGAAAAATTATGGAGTCCTGGCTCGAGTTCTGGCTCGGTATATAGGTATCCACCTCTAATTTCAGCCATAATAAATTGTGGTCGACCAAGTCGAACGCATTACAATAGTCAACAAGTAATACTCCACTCACTCTGTTGTTGTCCAAAATTAATAAGAGCTCATCAACTTTTTTAATCAGAGCAGTCTAAAAACCACATGAGGTGCTTACGAAAACCGGACTGTCTAGAATAAATCAAGTTGTTCACTTGAAGAAAGTCGTTCAAAGAATCGTGGACGTAACGTTCAATAATCTTCAAAGTATAGATAGGACTGTAAGGACAAAAATTGGACGATAATTAGATGAGTCGCTTGCATCACCCTTTTTGAACAAAGGATTAACTTTAGCGGTTTTCCAACGATGAGGAAAATTTCCAGTTGAGAATGAGTAGTTAATCATCCTTGCAATACTCGGCGTGATAACTGGTGCAGCCAAACGAAGTCAACGAGCATTAATCCCGTCAATACCAGCAGATTTATTATAGGACTAACTCTCGATCTTCAGAATACTTATAAGCTGGGTAACAGTAATATCCCGAAGAGTGAAAACAACATCATGATCTTTAGTGGAGTTGACAAAGTTAGTCAGTCTGGACAAGTCATCGTTTAAATCGATATGGTGACTTTTCCCTAAGTTTATCGGCGATTTTTGAGAAATGAGTGTTAAATTGCCCGAGAAGTTCACTAGGATCGTCAATCACTTTGCCGTCCACTTCAAGGTTTCTAACACAGGAATTCTTAGCTGATAATTCTCAGCTGATATCCTTCTAGATAGGTCGCAGTTGAGTAAATTTAAAAGTTTACTCGAGGCTCAGAGGAAGAAGGTTGGAACCTGCTCGCTAAGTTTATAGCCGGGATAAAGACAAGAACTCAGTGGGGAAAAAAAGCCATCCATATTGAAATGTAAATTTTTTAGATTAAGGAAAACCTACAAGCAGAGTTCCTGTTTGAAGACAAATAATTACTGAAGGTTTTAATTAAATCTGACACACAATGGAAGAAATAGATCGAGTCATTTAACCTTTGATTTATGCTATACATATAGATTATCACTATATATATTTGGGTGAAAGAATAAATTAAAATACAACTATATCC